ATTATTAAAATGAATTTGAAGTTAAAAAGCTGATAACTTAATCAAGCTTTAGAACTGATGAAGTAATCTTGTAATGGGTACTCTTTTAGAATTTATGCAATATTTTATAAATTTATGCTACATTATTTTTGCTGCAGATTATTTCTAAAACTGCATTCAGAGTTTCACAAATTTGTATGAAAAACCATTTATAGAAACTTTGAGATGAGAAAGTTTATTAAGGTAGAGCAAGCTTATGTTTGCTAATGATAAAATGAGTATTCACATGTTTTTGTTTTGATTTCAGACTTTGTTTTAAGCTGGGGTTGGCAACATTTTTGACCCCGTATTTTATCAGTAAGACTAAACAAGTCTGAGGCTATCACTGGCAAATTTAAGATACAAACCTGGCAGAAAGCAAAGAGAAACCCAGAGTGAGTATGAAGGTGAAATAGAAAGAATTGTGAAAAAGAAAAAACAACTCAGAAAATGAGACTATTTTAAACTGAACCAATTAGTAGAGTAAAATGAATTCTGCATCAGTCCTATAAGCTACTGATTCTGATTTAAAAGTTAAAAGATAAACAGGCTGTAGATACATATATTCAGACAAGAAATTGCTACACAGACCTCTTTTTAAAATCAAAGTTTGGATTAGAAACCTGAAAGAAGTTATTATATACTACACTTCATGTCTTCTAAGACACTTTTAATCTCATAGAATGAGATATTTATCAAAAGTCCTTAAATACAATATCCAGGAGTTTCTTGATTTGCAGATAGTTTTTCTTTTGTAGAGAGAATTGCATGCAAGACAAGTCCTGATGAGTTACAAGTCCTGATAAGGGAATCTGAAGAAGACTGGCTTCATATGACCATCTGTACCAGGAAATCCTATATAGAAATGAAGGTTATCATTGCTAAAACAGAATGCAAGAATAACTGAATCAGAGTGTTTAGCCAGCACACTGTCCAGTAATGCACAGATTTATAAAAGACATGTACAAAAAAGTCGTTAATCACGTGATTCCATAGTTTAGCTGTGACTATGACATCCAGGTGTCATCAAAAACCAGGCCCCACTCAAATGGTAAGAGTGTCAATCCCTCTGCCTTTAAATGGGACCTCTGCAAACATGATATGTAGCTTCGTTACCGTAACGTATTTGCCAGCAAAAAGAAAAAGAGAACAAATAAGGATGAAGTTCCCACACAGTTTCATAGCAATAAATTTCTGTTTGTGGTATAGAGCTCCACTGGCCTAGAACTGTAAGAAAGATGAAATGCAGCAAGAGATCCAAGCAGCTGCTGAATGGTGAGCTGAGACGGTGGTAGGATGAGTAACAGAGATGCCATAAGGCCATACAGGAACCGAACTTCGACAGATGCTGCACAACTCTGGAATGCTGGGAAAGAGGAGCAAATGGACCAAACCGATGCACGCCCATCAGGGATGAAGCAGCTGACTCTCACCAATGGTGCGGGGCAGGTTATGAAGTGGAGAGGCATTGTGGCATACAGCGACAGGCCCTGCAAACTGTGGCTACAGTCACAAAGCAAAGGACAGTCTTCAAATGTATAGAGTGGAAAGGACCACTGCTACGTACCATTGGCTTCAGACACCCCATACCCATGAGGAGTTAGTATTGTCAGCTACAAATAAAAGTCTAATGATGACAGCTGTTTGATAACACCTGAGAAGTCCAAAAAGTTATTTTTTTAATAAAAGTGTTTTACTACAAAAACGAATTGGTTTATGTTCTTCTGTGTATATTCTCAACAAAAACAAAAATAAAATAAATTGTTAAAAAAAAGTGTTTTACTAGAAATTTTTCAAAATAGAAATGACTATTCAACAATTTTAGACCCAAATCATTCATATTTTAAAAACATCAATTCTTTCAAATCGGGAAATTCTAATAGGAAAATAAGCTTTTTTTTTTTTTTTGAGTGCTTAACAGGCTGTTATTACTATTGCTCTTCTATGGTAATAACTATGCTTCATTGAGACTCCCATTTGTTTTTTAAACTGTTAGTATCTCTCCACGATACTGAATTTGCTGTTAAGCTTTCTGATCAGAGCTAATACTTGGTCCCTGGTGGCGCAGTGGTTAAGAGGTTGGCTGTTAACCAAAAGGTCGGCAGTTTGAATCAACCAGCCGCTCCTTGTAAACCATATGGGACAGTTCTTCTCTGTCCTATAGGGTCGCTGTGAGTTGCAATCGACTCGACGGCAACAGGTCTTTATTTTTTTTTTTAAAAGGGGTTTAGGATACAGGACAAAATTAAGGAGTTGCTCAAAAGGTCTTAAACACTAGGAGATCAACACTTTTGTCTTGGAGAAAGAAAACAGTGAACTCATGGAGTTTTTTTAAAAAGAAGAGTTGTAAAACATTGCAAGTCCCTCAGAATGACTGACAACTAGGGAAAGAAAATGCAGTTACAACTAAATGTTAAAGGTTTTGGGGAAAAAAAAGGAAATGAAAGGACTTTCAGGTATTAAATGCATTTGTCTTGGTTCTTACTTTTTCAGTAAGATTTTGTGATGTCTATCGAATTAAGTAAGAGAAAGAAACCTAAATTATAACATAAAAGATTCATGTAAAACATATAGAATTTTTCTCTGAATCATTGAAAACTCTTGAGAGCAGTTAACAAAGAGAAGCACATGGAGCTCAGGCAAACAGTAGGCACTCAATAAGTATTTGCTGAATAAACGAAGAAACTGAGATAGACTACAAACAATTCAAGAGTAAGCCATAGGTTGGGGCGTCATGAGAGCCAAAAGTCATTTTGAATCGTAACCGGACAAGCAGAGTTAAAGCAATATGGGTTTTCTACAAACGCTTCCTCTCTACGATGCCCCAGCTTCCCCTGACTGAAGGACCATTTATCTACTGTGATTTCTACTGTCCTCCTTCTCTGAGAAGAGCTGGCCTCTCCACTTTTTTTCCCCTACTAAAAGCCAGAAAAAGGTAGCCATTGTTTCATTTTTCCCTTTGGGTAGCTCACGATCATGTGCATATTTTCCTCTCTATGTTTTTTACAGTGGGGAGTACTTAGCAGCTGTCACTTCCAGGTTAGTCCTCAGGGACGGGGCAGAATGTGCACTGCATTTGGTGCAGGAAGCATGTGATATATATTTGAGGGATCATGTACCACACATGACACAATGTCAGTGTAGGTGCTGGTGTTAGGTGTGCTGCCTATGAGATGGCCAGCCAGAAAGCGTGGCGTGCGTGCCTGTATGGGATCATGACTTTAAGATTAGCTGAAAGAGCAAACAAATCCAAAGCACTTGTGAAGATGATGCTTTCTGAATCACTGGAAAGCTAAATGGATGCATCTGCTTATTTATTTATTTTTTTTTAAAAGAAGAATCTCTTTAATGTGACTGGCATCAATGATTCATAAAATTATCCCAGTTCAAATTTAAGCTCGGGGGCAAGAACAAGATGAATAGGCCTACTAAATAAAACCTCTACACAGCTATCCGCCTTTCCACTGTAAAAATAATGACTGACTACCTTTAGCAGAGTTGGTCAGTGCACTAGTAATACAGAGCACACTTTAATAGTGGCAGCTGTTCTATTCAACCAAAGAGGAAAAAGTCAGCAGAGGTGACTCACAATTTGTGGTTTATAACCATTTTTATTTCCTAAATTGCCTATACATCTCCTTGACCTGAGAATTTCCAGGTTCTTTATTCCATAACATGAATGTAACTTTTCAAGGCTGTATCTTATTAATTATACCTATAGAATTAAAGGTTGTTATTCTGACACAGTGGCTGCAACAACGGGCTCAAACATCACAACAACTGTGAGGATGGTGCAGGACCGGGCAGTGTTTTGTTCTGTTGTACACAGGGTTGCTATGAGTCAGAACCCACTCAACGGCACCTAACAACAACCAACATTTTAGGTAAACAATCTTTCTAGATAATGTTTACTTAATTGATAGATCATTTCTCCCAAATTATTTTATATTTTCTTTTCTTTTAAACTTCTGTGTTAAATATCCCTAGTGTGATCTTTCTTTTGTGAAATAGCTTCTAAACAAGTACAGATTGTAGTTAAGTACACTGAACTACAAAAATAAAAATACAAAACTTCAAAAACAAAGAAGGCAAAATTAACATTTCTAAAACAGCAATATAGTAAAGGAGTAAGTTAATTTCAAATGTGTGTTTAGTATGTGTGTGCAGAAGCACTGAGATGTCAGTAAAAATGCTAGAAATGATCCTTACCTCTAGCTAAAAGAGTGCTTGCAACTGAACTGAATGAAGGTCAAGAATAAATTAGGAAAGTACATGAAAACCTAGGATAAAAAGATTACCAAATACAAATACTAAATTCCATTGATATCCATTTAAGACCACCTGAAATTAAAAAAAAACAAAAAACTTTTTTCATACTCTATCCTTGAATATAGATTGTTTTCTAGACAGGGTCATGAATGCACTCAATGTACATATATTTTCTATTATCTATTGACTGATTAATTTACAACTGATTATTATGTTTCCAAATTACTAGTTTAAAATCAGTGTGTTTGTGTATATCATGTTGTCTATAATTTCAAAAAATACAGAAAATATGTGAAAAAACTTGACAAAATAAATCCATATAATTTAAATAATACTGTACTTATAAAAAGAAAAGCATTTTTGTGTCTTAGGAGAGGTCTAGTTCCCAAACTTTTAGTTCTCTGAAACAAATGTGTATATGTATGTGCCTTTGTGGTACATGGGTTAAAGCACTCCACCGCTAACCGAGAGGTCCGCGGTTCCAAGCTACCAGCCTCTCTGCAGGAGAAAGATGTGGCAGTCTTCTTCTGTAAAGATTTACAGCCTTGCAAACCCTATGGGGCAATTCTACTCTGTCCTACAGGGTTGCTATAAGTCGGAACTAACTTGAGGGCAGTGGGTAGATAGATAGGTAGATAGATAGATATGTATTTTTTTTTCCTGAAATATGTGGAGTTCTGAGTTAGAATTTTCCATTTCTGGTTTAATCATACCTTTCACATCTTCATCCTCAATTGTTGTATTTGAACTTTCAGTTGACTCCTGTTGAGAAGAAAACACTTTTAAGTTGCAAACAATAAACAGTCTGGTTTTTCCTTCTTAAAAAAAATTGATATGAAAGTATGGCTAGTGGTATACATATCATGCAAAGTTCTGCAGCAGATTGTGTGCATATGCTGACATGCAAATAAACAAATACATTACATGGTTTAAACAGAAATAAAATGCCAAAATGCTGCACACGTTTCAAAAAGGGAGTACTCTGGTCGCCTAATCTCGGAAGCTGTATGATTCCAAGCAATTTGTGGAAGCAGCAGAACTATGCTATTTATTTTAAAGAATGTGTTTGTGTTACCGTGCCCCATAAGATGTGCTTTTTCGGTATACTTATGAAAAATTAAATATGTTAGCTTAATGAATATGAACCTTAAAACAGGAAAATTTGCATTCCTAACTATAGTGAATTGTACCTTCTCTGTGTAAGGCACATGTCAAGCATTGAGTTTGTAGTCTGTTCGCTCTATTCCTTTGTAGAGCGACAGGCATTGCACTGCAACGTTTGATGAAGATGCTAAGGCTACTAAGCTGAGATATGCTGAAAGTACTTTTTAAAAAATTTTCATGTTTGTAATTAGCACAACAGCTTCATGATGAATAATTTACTTTCAAGGATAATTAGATTTTTCATTCATTTCTAAATTAGAAGCTGGCTGTCATTGATAAGAACCCTCCTCCCATAATAAAAAGACAAAGCTATTTCTTTGTAAAACTACAAATGAAATTGAAATTAGTAAGCACACTTAAAAGGACACTGTAACTGCCAATAATAAGATACGTTCCTTAAAATGGTTTGATAAAATTTGCCATTAATAATGTACTAGTAAAACATTTTCTAGCAAAGAAATATAGCAATATTCATAAGACACAGTTTTCTGCTTGTTGGAATGATTAAAGGTTAGAGCTGAAAAAAACTGGAAGCAAACTTCCAATTAATAGCTGTATGCTTAGTGACGAAAACCAAATTTTGGAAAATGATGCAAACACAAGTTAATATCCTTTTTGAGATTTATTTTTATAAATTTACATATAATATTTAAAGCAAAAGGGCAAACTAAAGATGTATCCAGAGTCTCCATACACACAAAAACCAAAAAAAAGTCTTCATGCGTTTCTTATTGTGACCCAGTGTTCAAATATAAACTCAAGATGAAGGTAAACTCATGCACTGTAAAAATAAACTAATTCATGTAAGCAAGAAATATCATGCAGCAACTCTTACAACTGATAATAGCTAGCACTATCCAAGTGTCCACTGCTTGATCTTTCATTTGCTAATGATATTTAAAGAATTTATTTTCATATGTGACTGTTCTGATTACAAGTCTTTTAGGGACTTAAAACATTTTAAGTGTTATGGTTACAAAATAAACCTTATCTTAAAGAACGTTAACACTTTATGCTTTTTACTTTAACAATTTTAATATTGACTCATTAAACATTAAACCAGAGGAAATTTGTCTGCTAAGACTTGAACATTACTGATAAATTAAGGAGAAGACTTATGACTATACTTAATATTTGATAAAAGTCTGGCGAAGTATTTTTCTACCTTCAGAGATATAATAATGTATGAGAAGTAATAAACTTGAAACATACATTCAGAAAATGTCTCCTTTCATCCTATAGACATGTATGCAAGTACAGTTATTTAGTTAACATGCTGTGCAATGAATTTACAGTGTATAGGGAATATTACAGTCTTCATTCAGTATAAGTAGTTAAATGTCCATTACTGAAATGCACATAACTCAACAAAAACAAACACATTTCACAAGTGAAACTCCCTAATTCTCCTCAAATTCATGTCAAACAACATCAACAGAAAGTTGAGAATAAAGCAAAACAAAACAAACAAAAAAAACTACTATGACAACAAAACTGAATAGAACTCAAAAGTAATACTATATTTAAACAAATGCCTATGAATTCAAGTTGATTTTTTTGAAGATAGTGGGATGATATAGCAAGAAATTCTAAAATTTCATGCAGAATACGTCTACAGTAAAATGCACAAACAGGCATGGAGGAAAAAAAAAAGACCAGATGGAATCACTAAAGATACACAGTCATCTTGACATAAAGACTTTATGAATGTTTAACCTGATTTTCTGACTTTCTGACTAATGGTACCATTCATCTGTTTTTCAAGATAGCATTCTTTTTTGTTTTGAAAGAAGTAGGTGTAATAGTTCTACAAAATTAGGCCCAAAAGTGCCATAGAAAAAGGGTAAGGATTTTCTTTCCTATTTTTAGATAATGAATTAATTTTGCTTTGAATATTTGATGAGATGTGTAATCTTGTGAAAGCAAGATGATGTTGATTCTTTCTGAATACCTTGTTTCCATCAGGGTTGTGGATTACAGTAGTTTGGGGCTCCTGAGTGAGAACAAAATAGAGAAAGAAACAGTTCGCATTGGTAAGTACATTCTTACTAGTGTGAGGGAAAGAGCAGAGTGAGCCAGTTGACACAACTAAATAATGACAAGAGCTAAAGCGATGTTAACTGCTGTCAGAGGTTGCAGCTGACAAGGTCTCTGATGAAAGATCTCCCAGGTGAGCCCATGAGAGAGGACACCTCCCTAGCCAGCAGCAGCAGCATGCAAAAGACCTTATTCTTGATCAGCATACAGACAAGGCTTTGAAGTTAAGAGACCTAAAGAGGCACTCACTGTTTCACAGAGTCCTATGCCAGATAGAGTTCTTCTTTCTTCTTTAATGGGTGGCCTTTTAAAGTCTGTCCCATAGAAAACTGCACAAGGACACTGGAGATAGAACTCTTTGAGACGATCTCAAATTCTTTGTGAAGATATTTTTCAGCTGTATTGCTTTGAGATATTTTTCGGCCATACTGATTATGGCATCATCATCATAAGACACAGCTGAGTACCCTTGGAAAATCTAGAACCATTGGACTACACTTAAAAAAAAAAAAAGGCTATTCTACAGAATGCATTTCCAAAGACCATAAGAAATTCCAAGAAACATTTAATGGTCCTGCTACTAATGATATAATCACTATACTTACAGACATATTGCTGTTAAATCCTGTGTTAATTCATATTTAAAGGAAAATTTCTGCCTTATGAACTATATGTATAGAAGGTTTGGCTACAAAGTCATGTCTTTCCACCAGAAAATTGAATCTTCTACCAGAAAATTGAAGAAATATTCTCAAGGGGAAATAACACTCAAATAACTGATGGAAACAAACAAAAAAAAGATTTAGCGTGCATACATCAATGACATGCTTGGTACTCTTGTTACATGATGTCTTGGTGACTGAGAGTTACTGCAACTACTGGAAGTTCTCTCCCATAGGCAGTCTCCATCTCTAAGATCTCCCTTCTACCACAGTTTATGCTGCACTACGTAGAAACCATTATCATTTGCTTCTCTTCTTCCTTTCCCTGGATAGAGCTGTGATCAATATTGTTCTTTACTAGCAGATAACCTGCTATCCACAATGACATGTCCTTCCTTAAAACGTTCTAAAGTTGAGCCCCTCCCAAGTGAAATAAGCCCCTAACATTTTTGATTCTCCTGGTGGTACAGTGGTTTAGAGCTATGGCTGCTAACCAAAAAAGGTCAGCAGTTTGAATCTACTAGCCGCTCCTTGGAAACCCTATGGGGCAGTTCTACTCTGCTCTATAGGGTCGCTATGAGTCAGAATCAACTCGATGGCAATGGGTTTGGTTTATTTTTGGTGACGCAGTGGTTAAGCATTCGGCTGCTAACCAAAAGGTAAGCAGTTCGAATCCACCAGCCACTCTTTGGAAACCATATGGGGCAGTTCTACTCTGTCCTATAGTGGCGCTAGGAGTCGGAATCAACTTGACAGCAACGGGTTTGGTTTTTTAACAGTACAGAAAGAAGCCCTGGTGGTGCAGTGGTTAAAGCACTTGGCTATTAACCGAAAGGTTGGCAGTTTGAACCTACCAGCCACTCCGTGGGAGAAATACGTTGCAGTCTGCTTCCAGAAAGATTTATAGCCTTGGAAACTCTATGGGGCAATTTTACCCTGTGCTATAGGGTCACTATGAGTCGGAATTGACTTGACGGCAGTGGGTTTGGTTTTTTGGTTTAATAGTATAGAGAACGGTCAAAAAATCAGAAACATTTCTGAAAATCATAAATCAATATATGGAATAGTTTTGGGGAAATGTTATAGAACTCAAGAGCACTAAATGCTAGTGTTCAAATTCTGAATTTTAACATAACGCTGTCTCAAAGTATTAAACTGATTTAATTTTTATAGTGTGGATTTGACTGAAATGGAAAAAAAAACTGGGTTCCATTGAAAATTCAAAGCTCTATGCTATGCTATTTTATTTTTTGGATTAAAGTGAAACAGTGATAAATTAATTTAAAACACAACTAACAAAAAGCTTTAAAATTATCCAGTGCCTCTTTATCTCAGAAAATGAGGTCTTACAAAGCCCTGTTGGCTTTTAATAGGAGGGAAATAGAAACTGAATAAGGTCTACTTTATGGTTGTCTAGCAATAATCGTGTTAGCTCTCCTTGATGTCAACACTTGCGTCATGAAGGGAAGAACCCATTGTTTTGCATAATCTAGAGCTATCATCAGGAGAAGAGCTAAGAGCAACCAAAGCGCATTCTACTGTCTTTCTAGGCAGCATGCGAACAATTTCAACTACAGAGACCACAGCTATCAGTACAATGTTCAACAATGAAGTGACAGAATCTCATGTTAGAAACATACTGCTTGACAACCACTTTAAAAAATGAAAAAAAATTTTTTTATATCTCAGAAAGCAAAAGAAAAAAAACCCAACAAAATAAAATATTTGTATATATACACAGCTATATAGTGAAAGCAAATGAGAGAAACAACAGAAAACAGTAAAGAACTTAAGAAGGGTTACAAAGAGTCCAGGTATACCAGCGCCGGGGTAGGAATATTTTCTTTGGGGCTGGTTACCACGTTGGCTTTGTTGTTTATCTGTAGGTATGCAGAAAATAGAAACAGAGATGCCTTAAACCCCTTGATAGCCAATGTCTTTATATGCAGCATGTCTACATGGCAATATAGACATGAAAATAAAGAGCCACTGAAGATGAATGTGAAAGACACTGTGATGACGACAGGAATGGTGATCACATCTAGTCTCCAATGGTCACACACAGGCTAGGACCGTAGCTGTGATGGCAGAATGATACAACAGACTGGGCTGCTTTGGCTGTGCCATCTTAGCAAACAGACAAAGAGCTGCTTCAATGGAGTTCTGATCAAGATTCAGAGTATGAAATGAATATAAACATTTTCATACTCTTCAAGTTGGATTCTGTTTCCCAGCTTCCAATTGTTCACCGTTACGAATACATTCCTTTTTTCATCTTTTTCTTGAGCCTGAAGTCACATATTGACCGTCTCTCTCTGGGGAGCCATCAGCACTTGGTTTAGTAGTTATCCAATTAAAAGCTTAGATCTTCTGATGAAATGCAGGCTTATAATATTTTTTTAAAAAATGATAAGTCTGGTTCTCCTTTAAAAATACATCTTCAATTGTAAATGGGCAAATCAAAGTTTTTACCATATTCTGAATTTAAAAGGACTTTATTTTTCACAGTTGTTTAAGAAGAAAATACTAAGTTTCCTGTCAAAGTGTCAGTGCTATTGTTGAAGACTATATTTGGTAATGTCATTCCGTTGCTTTAACATAATTGAGTTTGACCTTAAACATCATTATCACTGTGCAAGGGACATTGTGAAAGCAACTCAGAGGGTCAGTAAGTATTGTAATGAGCCCACAGGGTAGACTCTTTGTAGACAAGTGGCAACTTGAAGCTACAATTGAGTCTGGGCACTGAAGAATCAAAGACTAAAAAAGTAATAATCGATATTCTTTTAAACTGATGCATGACAATTTATATTATGGTTATCAAACAGAAATATAAATTAACATTCATTTTCTAGCACCATATTATCTAGGTATTATTATCTAAAGGAATATATCCCCATCATTTCAATAGAAGTGTACTTAAGGACTTAACGAGAATAACATACTACACAAAATAAATATCAAATGAGTATTTTGCAAGTGATTATACCAATTTAATTTTTGGGCTTTCTGTGAATTCTTGAATTCTTTTCTTTTATACTTTATACCTATAGATCTTATTGAAACTGCACTGAGAGGAAGACAGAAGGTGACAGAAATTAATTTAGGTATGTAATACTTTGCTTTTCTATTAATTCACATTTGTGTGATTATTAGGTATTAGTATTACTTAAATAAGCTGTAACACTGTGCTCTGTGATATGCAGAAAAATAGAAACTTTTGGTGTCCTTTACTGGAAAACTCTTTAAATGTTAAATCATCAATTGGTATTTTGCAGATAGTTTGTTTAAAAACTTTCTTTAAATCAAAGTGCACAGAATTCAACATAAATGTAGTGCAACAGCTAAAAAGAGATAAGAGATAATGAAGTCTGTTAGACAGGGATCAAAATTAAGTATTTATGTTAGTATAGAATACATGAGAAAAGGGGAGGGATATGCACAAAAATAATTTCCTATTCAGGAAGAGTGCTTGGCAAAACACAGCTGACTTCTTATCAAATGATCAGGGTTTTTTTTTTTTTTTAAATGATTAAAGAACCATATGGATTTATATGCTATATTCAGTTTATATCAGTGGATACAAAGAACCAAAAAGAAATATTCTGAGATACTTTCATTTCTGTTTTGAGATAAGAGATCAGATTTTTTTTTATATTTTTGTGGTTGCCAAGAACTGCTTTATTTTAGTGAAAATGGTTCCACATGCACACCTATGCATACAAACCTATCTGCACACACGCACACACATACATTGCATTACACACATTCACACACAAATACACAGCACACACACTATCATTCTTTCCAAATGAAGGCCATTCTATCTGGATGAGTCATCCTCTTTCATTAGGCACAGGAAATATGATTTAAATGACTATATGCCTCAACTACCATTTTCAGTCATGTTTAAATACGCAGTTAAGAACTTTTTTTAATGTAAAGGTTAGTTGAGTGTTTTTTTTTTTTTTTTTACTATAGGGAATATTTCGAAGGTACTTTGTAATATTAACTTAAAAATAGAAGACTTTCTATATAAAAGAGTAGAAGAACTTCTTATCAAGTATGGGTCAAATATCAAGTATGGGTTCAACCATAGGATATAAACATATAAGAACTCTCACACTTTTGTCTGTGAATGTAGTTTATTTCTTACTATGGAAGTATAATATTTTTCCTTAAAAAATTAATCAAATAAAATATTTAAATGATGTATTGAATTATTCTTATGATGCAAGGGCAAGATATTCATTTCTCAGTTGGTGATTTTACTCAGTTTTGAGGTTAATAAACATTTCCTCTAAAGATGCTTAACTAGGATGGGTTCCTTGTAAGATCCCTTTTACACTATTTATAAACTCTATAGGGACATATCACGGTTATGTCTGGACCAAGAATCATTTCTATCTTAGCAACCATGATCACAATTTTAAAAATAATTATATAGTGTTTCTTCACTTATCAGTAAACAGACAGATTAATTATGTCATGGTCTCTTTAGATTCAAAGAGAAAACTGGGCTTTGTCCTAGTAAAAGATTAAACCTGTTAGTAGCGCATAGATAAAGAGAAAGTTTTTATATATTTAAAAAATTCAAGTTCAAAGAAGAATAATAAAAAGTAGAAGTGGGTAGTGTGTTCGGTACTTGATTAACACTGATCTTTAACAGTCCTACAACTTTTTTTTTCTCCACTTACACTAACTTAGGTAAGTAAGATCTTTTATTTTTAAGTGTGAATTTTCATAGGAGGAAAAATCTGGCAGGTAGAGATCCTCACCATCATCTGAACACTCGAACTGGATTTCCTTTTCTGAATTGACCAGTCAAAGAGAAAGGAAAAGAAAAAAATATGACCGGTGGAATTTACAGAATCAAAGCACGGAGTACAGAATAATTTTGTCTTTAAGGAGGAGTGATAAATTGACTGGGAGAAAAAAAAAATTGGAAATGTTTCTTTCTATATAAGGATAGTGCTGAAGATTAATACCCTAATAGGAACTGTGAGTGCTGCACCACTGAATGGTACAGAAAAACACAGGAGAATAAAACATTTGGAAATTTTGAAATATTCACATTTCTACCAGTGTATCATTGGGAAAAAGGCAGACATTACCTGTCATTAGTGAAATCTAAACTGAATAAACTAAGCAGAAAGAAGATAAAAATCACAGGCTGAGTAAAGCAATTGGTAAAAGGCAAAAGTCATCCTAATGGGAACCACAAGTGCATAGTCACCATAGCTCTGGAAATTCCGAAATCGCACACAGACAGGTGGCGAAATGACTGGGTAGAAACATAAGAAATGATTTTCTGTTATACTTTCAATATGAACTGACCAACTGACTTTGGGCCAAGTTCAAATGTTAGAATATTAACTAATTCCCAAGAATGTTGAAGTGTTGATGAGGAATGTATGCATCTGCCATTGGAAGAGAAAGAAAAGGATTAAAGAAATAAAACATTTAGGTGAGGCTGCAAAGATAACACACATAATGTAAATATAAGGTTACATTCAATCAAAGGTAAATTCCCATGAAACCAAACAGAATCAGTAGAAAATATGTTGCAGTATTATTGAGTTGAATTTTATTATTGTTTAGAAATCCAAGAAAGTCAAAACATCCTGCTGTTATCTTTCTTGAAAGATTTTTCTAATGTTTGTTAATTTACCTTGACAGAAGAAAAACTGCCCAGGCAGAGAAATTTAGTAATTTGACATTTGATTCCAGTCTCAATGACTTGAGTTTTTTTTAAGGTTATACATTTCAATGGCCTTTAAAATACTGCATAATTATTTGGAAAGGCATTTGGTTTTCATAGATTTTTAGGTCACCACGATAGTTTCAGACTGTAGTAAAACAGAGGATTTAGATTCAATTTCTATAGCAACTCCATATACAAGTATTATTTTTTCATGATTATTTAATATGTAATCAAATAGAAAAAATATATAATTTTTCTTGGTATAAATGTTAGTCATCATTGTGCATTAAAATTATTTCATAATTCAACCTGTATCCTTTATCAGTAACCACAAAAAGTACAAGTTTCAACTACTAAGGACTTATATTTAACATTTTTAAATTATCCAGCATCTGAAAGTCAGAAATGTTTAGGAGCATCTGTTTAACTTACCTTTACTCCATCTGGTTTCTTCAACAAACTCTTGGCTGCTGCAAAATGAGAGTAAAATCTGCTTAGTGAGTTATTCATAGAAACCCATAGCTAGGCAATAAAACAAGTAGTTGTTTCTTTCTACCACCTCTGCTGAGTTACGGCCTACATATGCCAAGTTATCAAGGTCACACTGATGAGCACGAGCTTACAGGACATTGAAATACAGTATCACTTTTCTTGGTTTTTCTATGTCAAATTTAGAACTAAATTCTTATTTAGTTCATTGCATACAGTAGAACATTTTGACTGCTGGACTTTACTTCACTGCTGGTTGTGAAAAGGATACTGGAACTTTAACTGGACTATGCTTTTGTAATCCAGAAAGCTGATTTCAGGCTTCAGACATCAGCTGACATATTGTATTACATGTTCATTCACACCACAAGTATGGTGACCATGTCAGTTCTGCCATTTAAGCCTCACCTTCTAGAGGTTTAAAACTCATTTGCAAAATTTTGCTCTGGTTAAATAACACCTATATTATACTTTTGAAATCAGACAATTTCTTTTCTGCAAAAAATCTTAATAACTATATTTAAAATGAAACAGTATTTTATATTATTGATCTAGAGCAATTGTTTAAAACTCTTAGCATATGACCTTTAAAAAATGGCATTATGTATTTTTATACTTCAAAATCAGAAGTTAGTCTTCATAAACAAAAGCCTTATACATTGAAAAATTAAAAATAATAAAATTTGAGACAAGATATAAACAAAATGAAATCTTCAAATGACTCAACTAAATCAGAGAAATCCTAAAGCATATGGTCTTATATTAAGCTTTATTTTTCTTAGAGAGGAAGCTTTTATAATTCCTTGTTACTGAATTTCTTGAGTATATTAAAAAGTGAAGTCATTCTTTCAAAAAATATACTTATGAATGGGTACATACATAGTGAACCTATAATATCATTGTCAATGACAATTAGTATACCAACTGTAGAAAATTTATGAATATGCAGGACAAAGTACACACTTATGTGTCCATTTAAGGTTAATTATATATATATATATGTATTATATATATATATTTAAATCAGAATAGAATTTGGCATTTGAAATGGAAATATGTAGCTATCATAGAACTGCATGAACATGTAATTTCCTGACATCCATTTGATCTGGGACATTATTTTGATATCACCTTAGTATAATTTTAAATTTACATAAAAGATATAAAAATGTTAATTTTATTTAGTCTTTAGCAACAAAGCTATTAATTTATTATTAAGATTGTAAGACATAGTTGCCTTAGATATAATACTATTTGGCTACAGCTAAAAAGCAATATTAAGTAAATACTGTGGCAGTTAACAGGTTAGAAAGCAAACTTAGAATAACTAGAATTGCAATAGCAAGCAAAGAGAAGACAATGATTCAGGGTAAGCAGGGATTTGGCCTGGGAGATGCAGAAATGTCCCTTTTGGTTACTATTCACCTTACCTCACAAGAAATACATTCCACATAAAGGAAGAAAAGAAAAAAAAAATAAAAACAACTTTATAACCATATACTTGTGGACAAATTACTTTAAAGAGCATGTCTGGCAATGAAACAGAATGAATAAAATACTCAAAAGTAAAATGCAATACTAAGTACAAGATGTAACTGTGTCTAATGTTATTCAGTTGAAGTGATGGATTAAAAAGAAAAAAAAAGTTTGTTTTTCAAGCTAAAACATTCAGAAACAATATAAAATCCACATATTAGTCATGAGTTTTTAGTTTACAAGATGATGAAAAATAAATGTGAGGGAAGTAAAAAGCTTCTATACATGGGTGCATATATTAATAAAGGCCCAGTTTATGCCTGAATGTATTTAGCACTTTAACAAAATACATAATCTTAATTATGGAGATTAATTTGTCATTAACATTATATATTATTCTATAAATCATTATGCCTTTTAGTGACTCACTAATTATTGGGCCATAGTGAAATATTAATTTATTTGAAGACAGTATTGGTTAATATTTAATGAGATGGCATTGAACTCACCCATATATGTGAAAATATTAATCAACTGTATATAAAACAGGTAACTAGACAAAGGCAGCAACAAAGTTTCATTACACCGAACACATTAGACAAAATACATACAGTCAACCAACACAGTCCCTCAATTTGTAACAATGATCATTGTATTATTATTGTTGTTGTTTAATAGCTCACTGGAGGCCTCTGGAAGGCCTCCTATGGTTTCACATTATCTGTAACTAAATACAAAGGGAAAAAGAAAGTGAATCATTTAATAAAATTTTAAACAATAACTAGAAATTGGTTCCGAAGTTTGAAGAACATTTTACAATGATGTGATGGATCATTACCTGATATTACTACAATACCCAGGCTAAGTATGTAGCAGGAAGTAAAATTAAGAATTGAAGAAACAGCTGGACAAGTTGATGCTACAGATGACTATTTATATAACAAACTGAAGTGATAGTATTTCTGGCATTTATCATTTGACAGTTGTTCCAAGTATAAGTGGCTAAGCAGAAAGTTTACTGAGTACAGCTTTCTCACTGCTTCAGTCACTTGTCATGTATATGACTGATCAGCATTTCCTAAAATTTGATTATTGGAAACCTGGCTTTTTAAGAAATTCAGTCAAAGACGGGGACTCCAAAACTCTTAATAATTTTTGGAAATGACATATACTTTGTTCCCATTTGGAGAGTTACTCCCGTAATAACTGGTTTGGCTTCTTCTAGCCCACTATTTAACAAATTTATTTTTACCATGGAATCATTTTGAGGAATGTTATTATCCCATGATATTGCTGTGTGGCAGATTCCCCGTAAATTCTTGAGTGAGATGCCTCTGAAAGTTGTAAAAATTTTTATAGCACAGGAAGATATGACTATACTGTACGAAGAACATCGGCCTAAGAGAAATGGGTATCTCAATAATGTCTTTTAAAAATCTTGTTTATTGGAATTTCCTTTGAGAATGAGAGAAAAAACCTAATTCTTAGTTATTACTTTATGAAATATCAATTAATTAATTCTAGGTTCAAAATGCTGAGCTCCAAAATGAAGAACTACATATTTGCACAACTTATGTGCCCCCAGCAGAGATGACAGATGCGCTCCAAGTCCTGCACCAGCACTGACTATTGGTGGGGCCGCCTGGGGTGTTCTTGTGAGGAGAGTAGTTACATAAGGCTCTGAGTGGGAGAGCACCCAGGCAGTTACTAATGGCAGCTACCGGTGTGGAAGGAATCCATGCCACAAACACATCTGCCATCCCTGAATGACAGTGTTATTTTTTAAAACTATTATATATATTTTTAAATTAAAAAAAGACTACTAAAGAGGAGAGCAGAGGATGAGGAGCAGAGTTCTTAACACTTGTACCTGAAAAATTCCTTGTAGCCAGCATAGTTGTCAAGATGGCACCCTATTAAAGGAGTAAGAATATAAAATTAATGTCACCTCTGAAGATGAACCCTTGAGACTACTGCTCTGAGATACCCTTTAAACATGGACCTTAAACCACTCCCAGATGTCGCCTTTCAGCCAAATGACAGATGGGCCCATAAATTAAATATCACCGTGAGTACTGTGCTCCTCCAAACAATTCTCTAGATGAAACCAAATGGTAAACATTCACCCTAGATCAAGGGTAAAGGCAAGTAGGGACAGGGAAGCTAGATTAATGAAACAGAACCACCAAAATGGAAGCAACAAGAATGCTGATATACTGTGAAGAATGTAACCAATGTCACCGAACAATATGTACAGAAACTGTTAAATGAGAATCTAATTTCCTGTGTAAATCTTCACCAAAAGCACAATAAAACACTTAAAAAAAAAAGTCATATCTGAGATTTTTTGACCTAACAGTTTTTAATAACAAATCGTCTAGCCTTACTTTTAGGCAAGGGATTTGTTAGTTTGTTTTTGTTTCTTGGTTTCCTGAGACTATCAGGCTCATGTCTCTCCTAACGCCAGGACCACCCTAATGGGTGTAGCTAGATTCAGATTATCAAATCGCACGCTGTTTTCCACTGAAGGGAGGAACTACAGCACACACTGCCACAACAATCTTAGCTTTTTCATTATAGGTTTAATTCCAGTGTATTTTCCATTTTCTTCCAAGATTCAGAAAAGGAATAACAGGAGTACTCAGGTCTACACATTTAAATGCATTTGCTAAAACTCATTTTCATCACACAGTGTCTCACTTCTCTCTTAACAAATCTACTTCCCTACAAAAATGTAAAATTTCTTACCTTTAGTTTTCTTCTAGCATTAAATTTCTTCAAGCAGTCTACAGTCTCCTGTCTGTGCATCATAGAAGCAACAGTAGAACGTTGCTGGAAGAGGAGGGAAAAAACTTAACTGAGCATACTTATAACACACTAAACATAATAGTAACTTCAACCCTGGCAAATCTTTATTAATGGTGTCTGCACCCATATGGTCAACTTGTAAGTGTCCAAATGCAAAAGCTACCTAATAATGAAAAAGACTGATATTTGCCAAGACTATTTATGACTTAAGATGCAAAATTTAGTTTACAGAAAGTACAGAAATGGATATAATTTCCTAAATTATATTTAATATGTCATTAATCACATTTTTATTGGACTACCTCTTGTTTCCTCAGCACCATATTTGTTTCTGTACCATTTGACGTTCATCCCTAAAAATTTAGTAACATCTCTAGATCTTTTACCCAATTTCACACTATTTCTCTTAGCACTTCTGAAGTGTATTCAGACTACCATGGTCATTCTTTGATGCTAGTAAAACTCTACTTCCTGTTTCTAAACCTCACACTTGTTTCTAAGGCTGTCTGATGAGAAGTAATTGAACTTTGTCTCATCTTTTCTTCTGGGATACATTTAACTTTTTGGTGTCAGTTTCTTAACTTCTGTTCATGAATATGGTCAACAATTGGGATGGGAAATGCAGGTTCCTTACATTATTGTAGACAGTGTTTGCTTAGCAACCTGCATAAACTGGACTTTAACATCCCAAATAATACTTTTCACCCTTACAAAATTTGTTTTGTTAAATAACTTGCATCACATATTTATTCATTCTGGGTTTAATCTTCTGAAAAATTATTCTAAGTCCATAATCTAAAGTAGAGTTTATTTTTCCTTTTAGCTCCTGAGGTCTCTGGAGAACTCTCACTTACACAGATCCATGGGTGCTTCAGTGCTTCTGAGGCTGTGATACGTTTGGCAGGGTTGATAGTAAGCATTTTATTGATGAGGTCTTTGGCTTCAGGAGTCACCGTGTCCCACTCTGGTGATGGAAACTTCAAAAATATAAATTTATAAAGAGTTTAAAAAGTAGATAGACTCAGTGAAACAGGGAAGAGTCAAAATATTAATCATTTCTTTAAGTGGTAAATTTCTTCACAAATTTACTTTTGGTATAAGTTGAACTACATCAAAATATAGAAAAATCAATATAGATATGTCCCCCTCTCTAAATATCTATATCTATATTAAAGAAGAGTAACTGATAAGGGACAAACAGATGTATTAAATTGTATGTTGTATCTAGTAGATACATGCTAGAATTTAGAAAAATAATTTAATCTTCTATTCCTCACAAAGTATTTTTGCTTTGATCTCAAAATGAAATTTTATACAAAAATTCTTGTAATTATTTGCAAAAATCAGTAAAAACGGTGAGGGTGTCACATGTATCAATGTCGTCATACCATTAAGCAAGGTTCAACACAAGGGATTATATACTCTTACGATTCACGTGTAACAACAGCAGAGATAATAAATTAGCATCAATTCCTGTGCCAAAACTGATACTACTTGTGGCTGCTTGGAGTGCTGTAGTGAGGAGTCTGAGGCTACAGGTACCTCAGCAGGATCTCATGTTAACTCTTCAAGAAGAAGGATAACCGACCTAATTACAAATTTCACCACAGGCAAGTTCATGAACACAGGCAACTTTCACAACTTCTATTAGTAATTCATTCTGATATTAATATTTCATTAATCACCGAGTACAAATGCAATATTTCAAATATTATATAATAACTACACAATAAGTTCTTTAGGTTAATTTTTTTGGTTACGATAATTCTTTAACCTCACTTTCACATAATTAACATATTAAGTAGAAATACTACTTTTAATGGGCTAAGAGAAATTTATATCACATTTGTTGCTAAACAACAGAGAAAATTTCAAGTTCTTTTCCCAATTTGTAAATTTTTATAGACAATTTTGAAAAAGAAAGCCACAAACCCATTGTAACTGCATCATGAAATTCAATTAGTCTGCTTTTAGTAATTATAAAATGAATAGCTTGTGACTCACTGACAGAATGAAACATGAGAAAAATGATTATCGACTCTTTAATACCTGTGACTTTTTGCCAGTTTAATAATCCTCATTGTAATTCAAGAAGTTCATTTTGGGCAGTTTTAAAAACTGCTAATGATTAATAACTAGTGAAGAAACACTCATGGACGCTTCTTAATGTTGTACAGGTTGTACAACAGCAAATAAGAGGTTGGTGCAGGCTGGGGAAAGGTGGACCTTTTTCTGATTTTTCTAATTTTCACAAAGGCACTTCTCCACATTCACCAAACAGAGTGTCTGCCCAGAGGGGTGCCTAGTTCCAGTTTGTAAAGATGGTGAATGTGCTAGCTGTGATAATGTAAATAATAATTTGGTCCATTTATTAGTCTGGATAGAATGGAATGCCTATATATTCAAACATATATTTTTAAAATTGTCACGATACACACAGCCATCCGAAAAATAGAAAATTTTAACAGAAATGCAGTGAAAATATGAGTCCTCAAGACCTGATAAAATATAATACAGACTTTTTATACTAACTCACCTGTCAACTCGTCTCACTTCTACATAGCATTTGTAACTTGTCCACAGAAGGTGGACCTGATATTGCCTACTCCCCAGGTAACTCACTTAAGAATACATGGAAAACATTCCCAGATCCTGCACTTTGATTTCCAGAAAGTTGTGTGAGATGAAACCAGAAGAAGTGGTAAATCACATTCACAGAAATATTTATCAAAGGGGAGCAAATTATATTGAAGAGTATAAAGTTAACTATACAGAGAAAAACAGAGAAATAAATCCTTACTCTTTAGAGTTAGAACTTAATTCATGTTCATATTATACATGTCTACTTTCAAATATTCTATTTGTAAATTAAATGTATTAGAATAATGATTTTCAAATATTTTTCAATTATGAAACCTGTTCTTCAAATAATAGCTTGCATGGAAGCCCATTAGGTTAACAATGAAAAAAAAAGAAAATCAAAACTGACATAGTAAGGAATGTCCTCAGGCTCAGAACAAGGATTGGTAAAGTACGTATAGCCTTCCGGCCAAATCTGGCCTGCCTCCTAATTTTGTAGCGCTCATGAGCTAAGAATGGTTTATTTGCATTTTTAAATGATAGAGTCAAACAAAACAAATAACAAAGAAGAATATGTGACAGAAACTGTGTATGCCTGCAAAGTCTGAAATAGTTAGTACTACCTGGTTAATCAACGAAAAACTTTGTCAACCCATCTCTCGGAGCAGGCCCTGAAGGAGCTGAAGGAGTCAGAAATTCTGTTTTAAAATCATTAGATTAGGATATAAAATTTGGTTCTATATGACACATGGGTCAATGCAATACACTGCTGGTATATAACTTAAAATTATTTGATAGGCATTTGGGAATATAATTCATCTAAAGAAGTAGTAATTATTCCCAAAGCAGAAACAGTTTAATGTTTGTATGTTTTGAAATACACTAAAATTTGAAAATTTTGACAAGCAAAGTCCTTTAAGATGCTTCCCTTCCAATCTCAGCAGATAGCTAAAAAGGAAATACAAATTGAATATATATGATGCATTTCTTAAGAGAGGGGAAATTAGTAAGAGGAATTACTGAAAATTAGAGTTAAAATAGCAATGAGAAAATCCAGCTTTGTCAGTAAATGAAAAACAAACCCTCATCTAAAATTATTACATACATCATAAGCTCCAGCCTTGATCTGCTGATAGAGTCTGTGTTGGTCTTCATCCCAAAAGGGTGGATATCCCACCAGTAGAATATAGAGAATGACACCTGGAGGAAATCAGCATAGGAAGGTAACGTAAGTTATATAAATAAAAAAAAAATGTGGCTGATCCACAGTAATATAAGCCGCATACATTAAAACAGAGAAAACTGGATTGCTGGAAAACTTCACAGACATATCATGCCCCACTCTAAAGCACTCAGGAGAGGGTGACTGCTTTTCCTTCCTATGCTCAAGACCTTTGATAATATGCAGCAGTATAACACACAAGCTGAAGAATTCAGAAGAGGCACAGCAGGGCTATAGCTAAAGATGAAACTCACCTGTCATTTTGGGTGCCACATGCTATAACCTTTCTTCACTCTTATCTATATAGATTCTATGTGATTTTAGTCACTTTGTAGATTGACATTTGAAACTTAACATGTTATGTTATTTTCTCTTACTCATTTTGCTAGTAATTAGGACAATCTGTTGAGTGATGGTGTCCTAGTTATAACTTCATGCTCTAAATAGTTAGGCACCCTGGAAGCATGGATATCATACAAAGAGATGAAAACACTTTTTTCTTTAGTGATCTTAATCTTCAGAAATAGACTTTTTCAATAAAAGTACTAAACCAGCAATACTACAGAACAGTGTATATTATAGGAGAGGGAAAGACGAGGGTGAAATTGTACTTAAAATTCAAAGGAATACGCAATCAGCTGTAACACAATTTGATATCTTTTTCATAAACATGCAACTATTTTCAAATTAATTTAATCAACATCTGATTTAACTTTCTTTTTTTAATTATTGTATTCACAAGTTTTTAACTTTCCTTGAATTTCTATTTTCGTTAATAAAATATCTGGAGATATTTTATCTCCGGGGACTATTTTGACACTATGGTCCCTTCATCATAATATGTCACTAGGGGCCTATCTACAGACAGTAGCACCTCTGGCAATTAGTGTTAAATTGCTGAATAATCACTCACAGCTGGCGACAGAAATTGTGATGGCCAATAGCAACTGCTCATTGATGCCCCGTCTCAAGCGGCACCCAGTGCACAAGCCCTACCTGCTGTGCCTTAGTTCCGCCTCTGCACGTTACCTCCTCCTTTTCAAATACTTTATGGCCCTGCTTAAAATCTTTAGTTTCTTTTCTAGCTCATTATCTTCTAGGACACTCCTCTGACCTCTCCTGCTTGCTTTTCTCTTGCAGTATCCCCTTAAGCTGTGGAAACCTGAGAGAGAAAAGAAAGACAGGCGGCATTTTGCCTCAGCATGCTCTGAGACCCCTTTTCCCTTGGTCTCTTGGTTTCTTTGCCTTTTCTTGGTTGGAAACCTCTAGTCCATTGGTCTTGACATTTTGATACAACACACACCACTTCAGCCAAAACGGCTGTTAAATAAGGTTTAATCACCCTAGACTCTTATAGCCTGCTTCAGGAAAATAGTTCAAAATTGATTTTTTTATCACACAACTTTTGCCAATTCCATTCTCCATGGGTGTACAACCTATTGACAGCAACCACAGCAATCAATGTGACCCCTCCATCACTGTTAATTACCCCCTCTTGCCCCTGGCAACAACCAATAAACTTCAATCTCTATACATTTGCCTTCTCCTGTCTTTTTATGTAAGTGAGGTCATACAATAGTTGTCTTTTGGTGATTGGCTTACTTTGCTCAGCATAATGTCTTCAAGCTCCATCCATACTGTAGCATGTACCAAGACGTCATTTCTGCTACTGGCTGAATAGTATTCTATTGATTTTTAAAGTCATGTGAATCACTACCAGAGTAAAATATTTTAAACAAGATTCTTAAATAAAGAAAAAAAAAGGCTTTTAGATCAAAATTGAATTATTTCACCACAGTGGAGTTTAAAAAAAAAATGAACATGAAAAAACTGCAATATATTGGTACCTCGCCTTTGCAACATCAAAACAAATTTTCTGTCGTTCACTAAAAGTATAGTTAATGTGCATTCATTTAAATTTATCTTCATATCATTTCTACTATCTGATGTAACAGATGCATCTAATGATAATGATGATTGTAATGACGATGATGAGTATCTGTGTTTGTGTTTCCTGGATGTAAGTAGAAAAGAGGTTGTACCTAAGTAGTTTTAACCCTCAGCTATGGTTCAGGGGGTGAAGGAGAAAATTTGCTTTGCCATGGCATATCTGGAAATAGCATATTTGGAAATGATGTCATGATATCTATACTGAATCTGGGCATTTTTCTAACAATCATCTGGAGTTAGGCTGTTATAAAATTATAAAACAGACTCATAACTGAGACATTTAACATTCTGAACCTAGGCTATGATGGCAAACACAGCCCCTAAGGCTGTCCGTTCTTGTGCACTATGTCTACAGTCCCGCATTGTATTACGTGACGTTTGGTTTAATTAAAATTCATCTTGACGTTGGGGGAAGGAGCGGGGGGTATAGATGAGGTAAGATTAACCATCAGTTCATTATAGTATTCTCTCTACTTTTGTATACATTTCAAATTTTCTATAATAAAAAGTTAAAAGACTATTTTTACACAGTCATTTTCCTATAACATTTAAAAATGGAAGCTAAAACTAGTTTTCATTACCTTATGTATGTATCTGTGTTTGGGAGATAGGAGAGATGTTTGATTAATAAGAATTTTGAGATGCACTGATTACTGATTAGGTAACAGTCTACATTATCAAGAACATTCAAAACTGATTTTAATAAAAGCTAGAGTTAGAAAAACAATTAAACCTCATAATCACATTAATGATTAAAATATTCTAAAGCCTTTTCTTATGAAAGTAAAGGAGAGATGACAAAGCAACGTTGAAAAACTCTAAGAAGTCAATGGACAGTTAAAGGAATAATCTAACCAACACATGCACTTAATACTCTCAGTAAACAAAAAGGTACTATGAGCTTCTGTGGAGTCCTCTGGGCACACTGGTTAAGAGCTTGGCTGCTAACCAAAAGGTTGGCAGTTTGAATCTACCAGCTGCTCCATGGAAACCCTAAAGCATTTCCCTGTAGGGTCACTATGAGTTGGAATTGACTCGACAGCAATGGGTTTGGTTTGGTATGGTTTATGAGCTTCCATGCAAAATGCATGAGGAGTAGGAAATGCACAATTAACTCTGTGTCACAAGTATGACTCTCTTTTATCTTGTTAACTTATGCAAAAAAATCACCATATAATTCAAATAGGCAAAGTACTAAACCAACACTTTGTGATCTAAAGGACCAATGCTAGGCAGAATAAAGAGCTAGAAGATCAAGGCCTGAAAGACAGGAAGTTATTTTTCAGAGGATAGAAACAAATTTGTGTCTTGTAACACACTGACAAGCATTCGGGGACCAGGCAGCCATGAATGCCTGTGCCTGCATCGTTTATGAGGTGGGGCTGGGAACCACGGGAAAGGCACGCGCCCATCTGTTTTATGTAAAGGTACAGCTGCTATAAAGAACAGAAGCATCATGTTACCAGTTCTTTCAATTACTCAAGAGAAGGCAGAAACTGAGGTTTTCAAAAGAAATCTCCTAATAATAAATTATAACGATAAATAACAAATGTCAACACCAAAAAACCCCAAAAGGCTAAGACATCTGTGAATCACTCATTTGCAACTTCTGCCATACTGTGTAAAAATCCTAAAATAGGCAAACAAACATATGACATCAAGTTACTATTATAAAGAAATGTGCAATCTAGGTAGGGTAGTGCTTCTTAAGCTGGGTGTGCATCACAGGGCAAGCTTGTTAGAAATGAAAATCCCTAAGCCTGATCTTAGAGGATCTTTTGCAATCGTTCTCAACTGGGTCCCAGGAAAGTACAGTTTCGCATGCTGAAGCGTGTGGTCTATTGTCCACAATTTGGAAAACACCAAGTTAGGGAAACCATATATACGATAACTAGAGAGACTTAAGCAATATTTGAGTTCAGTGTAAGAGGTTAAGGAGCCCTGGTGGCGTAATAGTGCTTGGTTGCTAACTGAAAGGTCGGTGGTTCAAAACCACCAGCTGCTCTGTGGAAGAAAGATGTGGCAGTCTGCCTGCATAAAGATTAAGCACTGGAAGCCCTATGCGGCAGTTGTACTCTGTCCTACGGGGTCGCTATGAGTTGGAGTTGACTCAACAGCAGTGGATTTTTTTTTGAGGCGGGGGAGGTGGTAAGAGGTTCTCTGCCTAGACTATGATTAGAGGGAACGCTTTACAGGTTAAAGATTGATAATAACATGGGTCGTAAAGGATGAAAGTAGAGACTTCTAATTGTGAGGTATACCTGTGAGGCCAAGTGCAAGGTAATCACAGAACTGGTAACAGCACCAAATTTCCATTAGGCTTGGGATTTAAAAATGGTAAATATTCTCTGGTAAAGTACCTGATGCTTACTTATCCCAAATGAAATAGGAAAAGGCCGAAAGCCAAATCACACAGCTGTTGAATCTAAATTAACCATGCAAGAAAAGAAGAAACATATTCTACAATATTCTATAGGTTTGCCAAAAGTCATGGTACATTATCTGGCAGCCACTAATTTATTATCACTCATAGCTGTTCCAAGTTATATCTAATTCAAGTATAAATGACATGTACAACCACTTTGGAAATTGATTTGGCGCTTCCTTAAAAAGCTAGAAATAGAAGCACCATACAATCCAGCAACCCTGCTCCTTGGAATATATCCTAGAGAAATAAGAGTTGTCACATGAATAGATACATGCATACCCATGTTCACTGCAGCACTGTTCACGATAGCAAAA